CTGAATTGCTTCAGCACGTCTCCCCCGCAGGCCTCAGAACACGAGCATCACGCGCGGTTCGAAAAAGATGTTCTCTCCCACTATCTTGCTCTCGACTCCGATCCTCCAGAGTTTGTGATTCCATCTTATCTTGCTCATTGGTCTTCTTTTTGTCCTCATGCGTTGCTTGAGCATGACATGCTAGTGTTCGCTGTTGCACAGCATAAGACAGACGTGATCATGGAGCGAGAGTTCTCCAACCTCACAGCACAGGAGCTTAGGGAACACAGGGAGGAAGTAGAAACCGCCAAATTGGCAGAGTTGTGGAAATGGTTCAATCACGCCACGTTCGAACGTAAAAAACGCAAACTAGCCGCGAACGTGTTAGACGGAACGTGGGTCATCACATGGACGCGCGTGTATGTAGCGCCGAGCAAACCGGGGGAACCGCCATCGTTCAAGAGAATGGTCAAAGCATGGTTAACGGCCAGAGGTTTCAAAGATGTCCAGGCATTCGAAGAATCGATTGCGACGTTTTCTGGCACTGCAAACAAAACCTCCCAGAGAGTGGTCAACGCCGTTGCAGCCCAGAGTCGTTTAACATTGTTCTCCATGGACATAGGCGTGGCATTTTTGAAAGGGTTGACCTTCGAAGAAATCTCCCGGCGAACCGGAGAACCACTTCGAGAGGTCCAGTTCGATTTTCCCCAGGCTGACGTGCATCTTTTGCAACAGCTCCCAGGAATGGAAGATTTCAAATGTTTGTTGGAAGTTCTTAATTTCTTGAACTCCATATGGGGGTTGAAGGATGCGCCGCGTGCATTCGGCATGGCGCGAGACGATTCCCTGCTTAGGGCTGGTTTTAAACGCACAACAGCAGACCAACATGTTTGGGTCAAGTTTTGCACAGTCGGCAAATTAATATGTATTGTCACAACACATATAGATGACATCAAGGGTTGTGCGACTAAAGAGGCCCGGGCAGAGCTAACGAAACGATTATCCCACGATTTCGGTGGTGAGCTGAAGGAACAAGAGCGTGAGTTTGAACACGCCGGCATACAGCATTCTCAAAACAGTGACACGTATGAGGTGTATGTGCATCAAAATCATTACGTCAAACAGCTCAAAACAATAGATCTCTCTACCGATGACGTTTCAGATGAAAATGCACCTCTCACGCCTCGTTTGTGGAAGTTTTTTCGTAGTTTACTGGGTGCTTTGATGTGGCTTCTCATGACACGTGCGGACATTGCTTCGTATGTGAGCTACTTGCAAAGGAACGCACAGGAGCCCACCATCAAGCACGCCATTCAAGCAAATCGCATACTTGTGTGGTGCAAGAGGAACCCTACGGGTATCCAGTATCGAGCAATACACGGCCCAGTTTTCTTAGGCATCATCGCAAACTCTGCGTACAACTCAAACGACGACCTGAGCGATTGTTTAGCACTGCGAGGATACATGTTGGCCTTGATTGGAAACGGACACCCCAAGAGCAACACAAAAGTATTCCAACATCTTGAGCACGTGTGTAGCAAGCAGAAGGTCGTGACGCGGTCGTCGTACGCAACTGAGCTTCGTAACGCACTGGATGCCGCACATGATGCTGTTGTTTTGGCTGGATTTTTTACACAAATTGCATCGCGGAGTGCAGAACCCACTGGACATGGTCACGCTGAAGGGAAGCGGATCCTTCTGTGTCCCATTGGTTTTGTTCACAGACAACGATTCGGTGTTCAAATCAGTAGGCGGAGATGACGTGACAGTGTGCCAGGACAAGAGCATGTTATATCATGTCACAGCCTTGCGACATCTACTGCTGTCCGGTCAACTGAAAAGGCTCGTCTGGGTAGACACCAGAGACATGTTGGCAGACGCCTTAACAAAAGGTAAAATCAGCAGAGACGACATCATGACCGCACTCAACACCGGATGTTGGGCACTGAAACACGCGTGCAAGCAATGGTTCAACAAAGCCTTGCCGAACATGTCAGAGTCCACGTTTTGCATGTGACTCCGTAGCCGTTTGGCTCCAAGACATTGCGTGTAGTTTCCACTGTCCATATCCCCAGTATGAGCATACTGTGTACAAGCGTGCGGCTCGCATGCAAGACGTGTCCGGCATGCGTCACGTACCACTCGCACATGTTCGCCAACGACATGCGCAGCCAAGACCAAGTCGAGAAAGCGTTGACGTACCGTTTGCAGCAACGCTTGCTTGCGGGCGAACACAGGAAGAACCAAGGCGAGGCGGCAACGATCGCCTCTGCTGTGGCGACACAGCACGCGAGCTCGACCCGAGACCCATGGCCCCGTGGGTAGAGCCAGAAGCGTCAAAGAAACCTCCGGCTCCACCGGCACCGCCGGCACCGCCATTGCCAAAGAGCAAGCGGTATAGGTCAGCCAGCGCCTCCCCTTCGAGGGCAAGGGCGGTGATGCCAAAGCGGTCTGGGTCACCCAGCGCCTCCCCTTCGAGGGCAAGGACGGTGGTGCCAGAGCGGTCCGAGCCGAGGCGGTCGAGGTCGCCCAGCGCCTCCCCTTCGAGGGCGAAAACGGTGGTGCCAGAGAGCCAGGTCGTGAAAGACGTGATTGAGGACATCAATGGCTTTGCGGAGACCAGTTCCCTGATTCAGGTTCTCGGCGCCGTCGCCAGGGCTTTGAAGAAGAAAACGATCACCACGACGGCCTAGATGATATTACGTGTCACGTGTGAACCTGCTACTGCTACAGCAAACGCACCACTGCAAGAGCACAACTGAAGATTTCCTGACACAGGCGTGTAGGCAGCCAGACCCGAGTTAGGAAGTGACGCAGAGGGGGGGTAGCATTAGCAGTACCGCAGCCACGTGGTGCAGACTCATTGTCGTACTGTTACTGTCTTACTTGCACTGCATACTGAAACATATCCAATCCCACCTCTCTTTTCACCTCTTGCTATCCATTCATTGTCATTGCTATTGCACGCCTCACGGCCTAACCAACCACTGATCTCCCCAGATTAAGTAGTAGCGGTCCCGCAGCCGCGTCTTTTGGAGCCACGCGCAGAGGGTGCTTGTATTCTCTCGAACGGGAGGAGGAGGAGGAGGAGGAGGAGGAGGAGGAGGAGGAGGAACAGAAGAGGAGAAGGAGGAAAAAGGAGGAGGAGGAGGAGAAAAGGAGGAGGAGGAGGGGAAGGGGGAGGAGGAGGAGGAGGGGGAGGAGGAGGGGGGGGGAGGAGGAGGAGGAGGAGTGAGGAGGAGGAGGAGGGGGAGGGGGAGGGGAGGAGGAGGAGGAGGAGGAGAGGAGGAGGAGGAGGAGGAGGGAGGAGGAGGAGAGGAGGAGGAGGAGGAGGAGGGGAGGAGGAGGAGGGGAGGAGGAGGAGGAAAAGGAGGAGGAGGAGGAGGAGGGAGAGGAGGAGGAAGAGGAGGGGGACGAGGAGGAGGAAGAGGAAAAAAAAGGAGGAGGAGGAGGAGAAGGATGAGGAGGGAGAGGAGGGGAGGGGGAGGAGGAGGAGAAGGAGGAGGAGGAGGAGGAGGAGGAGGAGAGAGGAGGAGGAGGAGGGGGGAGGAGGAGGAGGTGGGGGAGGGGAGGAGGAGGAGGAGGAGGCGGAGGAGGAGGAGGAGGAGTGAGGAGGAGGAGGAGGAGGGGGAGGAGGAGGGAGGAGGAGGAGGAGGAGGAGGAGAGGAGGAGGAGGAGGAGGAGGAGAAGAAGGAAAAGGAGGAGGAGGAGGGGCCGCCAGAGGCCCGAACCATGATTTGGAAGCCCCTGGGCGTCGAAGAGGGGGGAGGGACCCTGAGATCCTGGCGCCCCCAGGTTTCGTGGCCCGCTCGTTTTGTCTCAACACGTGCCCGCCCCCCCCCCTCGGCCACGCGCAGAGGGGGGGGGCAGGGAGAGGGGGGAAGGCTTCTTGGAAGGAACCCTGCTTCTTGGAAAGGCGCGGGCCTTATCGATAGGAGTAGGGCCAGCGCCTTCTGAGAGGCAGCCTGCCTCTAAGAAGACTTCCTCCCTTCGCCTACCCCCATGTGCGCGCCGCCAAATTTCTCTTGCAGATGGACGAGGGCTAGGATCGGCACAGACGTTGCCGCGGCTTCAGCCTTGGCCGTGGTCCTCGAGCGACCGGGACCTCCAGGGTCTCCTAAACCGTATGGTGATGGACCGCGCGGTGAGGCCGTTGGGGGCTCCGAGGTCACCACGCGGCCTTTGGCCCCCGAGAACCACACCCATTGGCGTTGGCCAGGATCCCAAACCCAAGATGTCTTGATTTTTTCAGGACGTCGACCCCCAGAGGTCTAGACCCATTCCCGAGGATCCGCTTCTCATCCCAAGTCGTTGTACGACGGTGCTAAGGCTGGTAAGGGCCCCCCAATCGGATGGGGCTAGGACGAGGGTAACTCCGGTTCACAGCGGTCGTTCCGGAACGCTCTCAGAGCTTTCATGATCGCTCGGAGAAGGTCGCGGCGCCCGATACATTCTCCAGAGCCGCCAGATCTCAGAGATTCTCGAGTTATCTTCGTCCGAATGTATTTTCGTCCAGGCTTCGTATTACGAAGCGGAAATTTGCGAGAAGCCTCCCGTCGCGATTTTTTCATGACTGGACGGGGTTGGGGATGGACGCCGGCCCAGCCCGCGGCACGAGCGGCGCGAGCGCTGGCGACGACCGCTGACGTTGGCGCCGACGCCGACGACGGCGACGGCGGCGGCGGCGGCGGCGGCGACGGCGACGGCGGCGAGGAGGCGACGGCGACGGCGACGGCGGCGAGGAGGCGACGACGACGGCGGCGACGACGGCGAGGAGGCGACGGCACTGACGGCGAGGAGGCGACGGCGACGGCGACGGCGGCGAGGAGGCGACGACGACGGCGGCGACGACGGCGAGGAGGCGACGGCACTGACGGCGAGGCGGTGTGCCGACGGCGCGCGGCTGCCGCCCCGGCCGGGGCCCCTCGCTCTGCCGGGCCCCCCCCCATCCTCCTCCTCCTCCTCCTCCTCCTCCTCCTCCTCCTCCTCCTCCTCCTCGCTCTGCCGGGCCCCGCTCGCAGGACGGCAGCGGCGCGCCCCCGGCGGGCGGGGCGGCGGCGGCGGCGGGCGCGGCGGCCGGGCGCGGCCTAAAGGGGGGCGGGGGCGGCCGGGGGGAGGGGGGCCCGATCAGAGGCAGCGACACGGTCCTCCTCCTCCTCCTCCTCCTCCTCTCCTCCTCTCCTCCTCACCTCCTCCTCATCCTCCTCCCCTCCTCCTACCCTCCTCCTCCTCCTCCCCCCTCCTCCTCCTCCTCCTCCTCCTCCTCCTCTCCTCCTCCTCCTCCTCCTCCTCCTCCTACTCCTCCTCTTCCATCTCCGCCTCCTCCGTCTCCTCCTCTCCTCCTCCTGATTTAGTTCCTCTCCTCCTCTCCTCCTCCTCCTCCTCCTCCTCCTCCTCCTCCTCCTCCTGCTCCTCCTCCTCCTCTTCCTGCTCCTCCTCCTCCTCCTCCTCCTCCTCCTCCTGCTCCTCCTCCTCCTCTTCCTCCTACGCCTACGCCTACGTCTCCGCCTCCGCCTCCATCCCGTGGTGGGATAGGCCTTTGGTCATGCGCAGATTCCGGGAGGTTTGAAATTACTGGGCGTTCTCGTCGGTTCTAGGCGGTTTTCCCTCGAGATGCTTTCCAGCTGCGCCTCGTCGAGAGCTCTCTGGGGATGCCCGGATCGTCCCGAACGGCCGCCGAAGGCCCGAGAGGCACGATTTGGTAGCTCCTAGGTAGGTGTCGAAATGGGGGGGGGCCCTGAGATCCTGGCGCCCCTTGGTTTCGTGGCCCGCTCGCATTGTCTCAACACGTGCCAGCCCCCCTCCTCGGCCACGCGCAAAAGGGGGCAGGGGGAGGGAGGAAGGCTTCTCGGAAGCACCCCTGCTTCTCAGAAGGCGCGGGCCTGATCTGCAGATGCAGGGCAGGCGCTTTCTGAGAGGCAGCCTCCCTCTAGGGAGCCTTCGCCCCTCCCCGTGCCCCCTCGCGCGCGCCGCCCACGAACGGAGGACTTGGCGCCCCCTCGCCCCCTCGCCTCCCCGTCTCCTCGTCTCCTCCGCCACCTCCTCGTCAACCTTGGTTACCTCCTCGTCCCCTCCGCCACCTCCTCGTCAACCTCCGCCTCCTCGCCTCCTCGTCTCCTCGCCCCCTCGCCTCCTCGCCTCCTCCGCCACCTCCCTCGCATCCTCCCTCGCCTCCTCGCCGTCGCGGCGCGGCCTCCCGTCGCCGCCTTCGGAGGCCTCTGGCGCGCCGCCACGCCCGCCACCTCCGCCCACCTGGCCGCGCACGGCCCTCGGGCAGGTCTTCTGCCTCCCCCGTTCCTCTCTCCCTCTCTCCCCCTCCCCTCCCCTCCCTCCCTCCTCCGTTCCTCCCTCCCTCCCTCCCTTCTCCGTCCATCCCCGCGTCCCTCTCTCCCTCCCTCCCTCCCTCCCTCCCTTCTCCGTCCCTCCCCCTCCCCTCCCCCTCACACTCCCTCCCTCGCTCCGCCCTCCTCCCCTGCGGAGGGAGCGCTCCTCCCTCGTCCTTCGGAGGCTGCCAGAAGGATCCGTTGGACAGGGTTGGCTTCGCTGGGCTCGAGGCCCCCAGCAGCCCGACCTGAGGCACTCCAGCACTGACCTGAGGTGCCCCAGCAACCGTCGAGATCCTCCTCCTCCTCCTCCTCCTCCTCCTCCTCCTCCTCCTCCTCCTCCTCCGCCGTTTCCTCCTCCTCACCCTTCTTGAACCGGACCTTCTCGCCGCCCCCGAGTCTTGGCAGCCCCCTCGAGGCGGCGGGGCGGGACGCGTGGGCGATCACGTTCGCCACGAACCTGCAGGTCGCGCGCTCCAGCCGCCGCAGGCCGCCCTCCCCCCTCGACGACGACGACGACGACGACGACGACGACGACGACGACGACGACGACGACGACGACGACGACGACGACGACGGCGACGACGACGACGGCGACGACGACGACGACGACGACGCCGACGACGACGACGACAACCTTCTCGGGAGCCCCCCCTCCCTCTTGAAAGGTCGCCTCCAACCGGGGAGGAAGAGCCGCGCGGGGCTAGGGCAAGGATAAATCCGTTCCAGAGCGTTCCGGCACGCTCTCAGAGAGTTCCAGAGCGCGCTGAGAAGGCCGCGACGCGCGATTCTCCTCAGCAGCTGGATCCCAGAGATTCTCGATTTATCCTCGTCCGATGTTATCCTCGTGCTGGCTTCGTCTTAAAGAGACACCCCGACTTCCGCCACCTTCGACATTGACATGCCCTCGAGATACAGCGGACCAGATGCCCACTCTGAAACAAGGGTTTTGTCGGTTCACCCGAACCCTCCTCCGGGTGTAATCCACAGTTACGTTGTTATGATCGGGCTTGGCACCAACCTTCAGGAATGGGAGGACTTTCGACTCCCATGACCAAACAAAGGACCTAGGATGCAATCGGACAGGAAGGAAGTTGGCGAGCCATAGTGCACGATGGCCGTCGACACGTGCATCGCCATGCCCCTGCAGACGGGACGGGGCAAGTGGGAGCCCGAGCGCTGTGGCAAGACTTCGGTGCCCTCCAGCCCGAGAGGGATAGACGTTGCATTGCTCATCCCCGCGCAACTCACACTGGGGCGCACTCGCGCTGGTGGCCGCCAGCCCGTGGCAGATGACGCGCAGAACCGGAATCTTGTTTCAGCGAATTCCTGGCCGTCCAGCAGGCCTCTCGCCGTAGGGCGGCGAGTGCTGGCCCCCATTGTCGCTGGGACGGCGCAGGTTCCCCTCCAACTCCCAGCGCCGTTGAGGAACCCTCCGGGTACCTGCTGCCCTCCAGCCTGCTCTCTGCCGAGTTCTGTGTCGGGCGGCTCCCCGTGGGCACTGCGGCCCCGCGCGCGCGGCCGCATTGCGCCTACGCTGGGGAAGAGCGGAGGAGGAGGAGGAAAAGGAGGAAGAGGAGGAGGAGGAGGAGGAGGAGGAGCACAAGGAGGTGGAGTAGAAGGGGCGGAAGAGTAGGAGGAGGAGACGGAGGAGAAGGAGGAGGAGGAGGAGGAGGAGGAGGAGGAGGAGCTTGTGGAAGAGGAGGAGGAGGCGGAGGACGAAGAGGGGGACGAGGAGGAGAAGGAGGAAGGGAGGAGCAGGAGAAGGAGGTGGAGGAGAAGGAGAAGGAGGAGGAGGAGGAGGAGTCTGCGGAAGAGGAGGAGGATGAGGAGGAGGAGGAGGAGGAGGAGCAGGTGGAGGAGGAGGAGGAGGAGGAGCAGGAACAGAAGGAGGAGGAGGAGGAGGAGGAGGAGGAGTAGGAGGAGGAGGAGGAGGACCAACGTAGACCCAAGGGTCATCAACGATGTTGGAATTAACCCTCCCTCCAAACGTTTCTCCATAGGCCCCTACAACGGTTCATTTCCACTGAGGGAACTGCTTCGTTGGAAGACAACTGTTTGAAGATCCTGAAGCATGCCAAAACATTGTTCTCGGAATCTTAACGCCACGTATCAACCTGACTGCTGCGTTTTGGCGATCCGGAATCATGCCACATCGCCATTGGTGGGATTTGATTTTCGCTAATCAACATAATTGTTGTACCCGCGTCATCCTGAATCTTTCCAAAACGCAGTTTCTGGTACGTTGATCATGGGAACCCGTGAGACTCTTGTAATCTGTGAAAACGAATGCGCGCGGCGCTAAGGCGAGAGCCACATATTGAAAAGGAGCCGCTCTTAATCCGTGAAGCTCTTGCAGTTTGTTGCAAAGGATGTGCGCGGCGCGAAGGCGACAGCCACATTTAAAGAATCACCCGCCCTCAACCCGCGAAGCTCTTGCCATTTTTGAAAACGAATGCGTGCGGCGCTAAAGCGAGAACCACATGTTTGAAAGCCACCCGCCTTCAATCCGTGAGATTCCTGCTAATTGTGAAAGCGAGTGTGCGCGGCGCGAATGCGAAAACCACATTTTGAAAACGACCCGCCCTCAATCCGTGAAGCTCTTGCTAATTTTGAAAACGAATGTGCGAGGCGCTAAGGCGAGAGCCACATGTTGAAGACCACCCGCCCTTCATCTGTGAAACTGTTGTCACCTCTTAAGCCTCAGGGTCATTAGTGGAGAGGAAGTTTCAGGAGAAACGCCCGGCCCGCCCTAAAAACTGGCCTCGGGGTGCGACAAGGAGGAGTTAATGATAAGGAGAAGGAATGGAGGAGGAGGAGGAAGAGCAGGGGAGTTTGAGGAGGAGGAGGAGGAGGGGAAGTTTGACGAGGAGGAAGAGGAGGAGGAGGAAGAGGAAGAGGAGGAGAAAGAGGAGGGAACTCGAGGAGGAGGAGGAGGAGGAGGAGGAGGAGGAGGAGGAGGAGGAGGAGGAGGAGGAGGAAGGGGAGCTGAGTTTGAGGAGGAGGAGGCGGAGGAGCAGAAGGAGGAGGAGGACGAGGAGGAGGAGGAGGCGGGGGGAGGAGAAGAAGGACGGGCGATCCCATCCCCCGCCCCCCGGCAGGAGCCGCGAGGAGGCCCGGAAGGTCTACCACTGGACCTTCAGCGGCCAGGCCGTGAAGGCCACCCCCACGGGCACGGAGAGCTACTCCAAGGGCCACAGCGCGGGCCAGAAGAGGACATTCCAAGGGCAGCGTTCCCAGACCTCCTCGCGCTGTGAAAAAATCACGACGGGAGGTTTTTCGCTATTTTCGGCCTCTGGGGGCCCTTAGCGGCCTTCGGGACCGTCAAAAAACGACTCAGAACGAAAAACCGGTCCTGGGGAAGGGGTCCCGACCTCTGGGGGTCGACGTCGTGAAAAAATCACGACGTCGGGGGTCTGGGATGTTAAGGCCCAGTGAAGCGACCACCAGCGCTGGCGACGCACTCACAAAATTGCCCCCTTTGCGAGGGCGACGTGCACGTTCGAGAGGACGGCTGGCCTCTTCGGCGGCCGACGCACGGGCGGCGCACGGGCGACGAATGCGCGACGCACCTCCTGTCGCGAAGGGGGGGGGGGTCAGCACGCCGGTTGCTTTACTGGGCCTTCACAGGCAGCGTCCGTCAAAAAGGGAAACGTGTTGGCAATGACAAGGGGTGCGGTTGCGCCGGGGTGTGGTTTGCGATCGGCGCCGTGGGGGCCTGGGGGGACCGACGCTGTCCTCGTCGGGCCTCTGCGGGGCGCGGCGGAGAGCTCCATCGAGGCCCCCGCTTGCCCCCAAGGGTGCCCCCCAGGGTGCCAGTTGCAAACCGCACCCTCTGCAAACCACACCCTTTGGAGCCGCCGAACTTGGTCAGGTCAGAAACCATGCCTCGACGCGTCGGTTCAAGATCGCATGCGTGAGCGTATGCACAAAGGCAGTCATATGGGATTGTGTAGAAGTCTGCCCACTCACACCCGACCCCGCCGATTGAAATTTGCATTACCATAGAATGTTGGAGCTCCGCGCGGAGCTCTTGGATCTGAGCTGGACCCGCCGCGCGCCAGGGAGGGGCTCAAGCGCGGATTCAAGAGATCCCCGAGGACCTCCAATTGTTTATGTTTATACAGTGCTTCGTTTCTCTATTTGGTGGGTAGATCGGTTCAGGCGCCGACGAGGCCCAGGGGTAACGCTCGGGGGGGGATCGGTTTTTGTTATGTTTATGCCGCGCTTCGTTTTTCCCGGAAAGGGCGTAGGCCCAGGGTTCTCTTTTAGTTTGTTTCCCCCCGGTTTTGACGGCTGTAGGGCCGGCGAATTTCTTTTGCGATAAATAACGAGGTCGCGTAGGGCCAGCGAATTAAAAATTGAGGATGTCTCGAGCGAAACGCTTGTTTTTCAGAATTTGTTGAGGATGTCTCGAGCGAGACGCTGGTTTTGCAGAGTTGGGGATGTCTCGAGCGAAACGCTTGGTTTCAGAATTTGTTGAGGATGTCTCGAGCGACACGCTGGTTTTGCAGAGCCGACCGCGACACGGAAAAGCGCCCCTCGCGCAGGAATTCCAAGGATGTCTCGCGCGTGCCGCGTCCCGCGCGCGGGTATTTGGAATTCTTGGGATTTTGACAGGATGTCTCGAGCGAAGCGCTTGTTCCCGGAAAGGGCGTGGGCCCAGGGTTCTCTTTTAGCCGTTTACTCCCGGATCTGACGGGTCAAGCGCCGGCGAAATTATTTGCGATAAATAACGAGGTAAAGTGCTGATTTGTTTAGAAAAAGTGCGTTTTGTGCGTGCCCGCTCGAGGAAAGTTCGCCCCCCATCTCGGATCCTCGATAAATAACGGGGTCCGCAGACCCCCGCTTTCCCTCGTAAAAAGAGGGTGCGGAGCGTTTTTCGCAGAATCCTCGAAAAATAACGGGGTCTGGAGCCCCGACCGCGACTCGGAAAAGCGCCCCGCGCGCAGGAATTCCGAGGATGTCTCGCGCGTGCCGCGTCCCGCGCGCAGGAATTTCGAGGATGTCTCGACTAATTCGCTTGTTTTGTCAGGATTTCTTAGAACTTTGGCAGGATGTCTCGAGCGAAACGCTTATTTTACATAGTTTGTGGAGGATGTCTCGAGCGAAACGCTGGTTTCCGCAAAATTTGGAGATGTCTCGAGCGGGGGGCCAGAATTCAGAGGATGTCTCAGGCGAAATGCTTGTTTTCGTGTCCCGCTCGCGGGAATTCCAAGGATGTCTCGCGCGGGCCGCGTCCCGCGCGCAGGAATTTCGAGGATGTCTCGACTAATTCGTTTGTTTTGTCAGGATTTCTTAGAATTTTGACCGGATGTCTCGAGCGAAACGCTTGTTTTTCATAATTTGTTGAGGATGTCTCGAGCGAAACGCTGGTTTCTGCAAACTTGGGGATGTCTCGAGCGGGGGCCTCGTGGGGGGCCAGAATTCAGAGGATGTCTCAGGCGAAATGTTTGCTTTCACGTCCCGCTCGCAGGAAGTCCGGGAATGTCTCGCGCGTGCCACGTCCGCGCGCAGGAATTTTGAGGATGTCCCGTAGCGCGTCCCCTTGGCACGTCCTACGGTGCGACCCCATGGCACGTCCCTTGGCACGTCGCCTGGCGCGTCCCTGGGGACGTTTCGCGGCGCGTCCTCCTGGCATGTCCCCCTGTCAATTAGCTCTGGGGCAGCTACTATGTGTTCAGGAAGCTCGAGCTTCAGATCCAGATCAGTTCGGTCAGGACTTGGATGCAAAGGAAGACTCGCGCGCAGGAATTCCGAGGATGTCTCGCGCGTGCCGCGTCCAGCGCGCAGGAATTTCGAGGATGTCTCGACTAATTCGCTAGGTTTTGCAGGATGTTCCGTAGGAGGGCCAAGGAGAGGCCCCGAAGGCTCTGGGAGCGGCGACGACGACGACGACGACGACGACGACGACGACGTCTCTTGGGGTTCTCTTGGACGGTTTGTAGAGTCCACGCTTACATGATCGACGGGTCGAGGACAGCGCGACGACGACGACGTCGCGGTGGCGGCGGCGTCCACCACGACGACAAAGTCTCATCTTAGAGCCTTGCGTGGGGGGGTCTCTTGGGGTTCTCTTGGAGGGTCTCTGGAGGGTCTGTAGAGCCCACGCTTACACGATCGAGGGATCGAGGACAGCGCGACGACGACGACGACGTCGCGGTGGCGGCGGCGGCGACGACGACGACGACAAAGTCTCATCTTAGAGCCTTGCGTGGGGGGGTCTCTTGGGGTTCTCTTGGAGGGTCTCTTGACGGTTTGTAGAGCCCACGCTTACACGATCGAGGGATCGAGGACAGCGCGACGATGACGACCACGTCGCGGTGGCGGCGGCGGCGACGACGACGACAAAGTCTCATCTTAGAGCCTCTCGTGGGGGGGTCTCCGGGGGTTCTCTGGGAGGGTCTCTTGGGGGTCTGCAGAGCCCACGCTTACACGATCGAGGGCTCGAGGACAGCGCGACGACGACGACGACGTCGCGGTGGCGGCGGCGGCGGCGATGACGACGACAAAGTCTCATCTTAGAGCCTTGCGTGGGGGGGTCTCTTGGGGTTCTCTGGGAGGGTCTCTTGAGGGTCTGTAGAGCCCACGCTTACACGATCGAGGGATCGAGGACAGGGCGGCGGCGGCGACGACGACGACAAAGTCTCATCTTAGAGCCTTGCGTGGGGGGTCTCTTGGAGGGTCTCTTGGGGGTCTGTAGAGCCCACGCGCGGTGGCGGCGGCGGCGACGACGACGACAAAGTCTCATCTTAGAGCCTTGCGTGGAGCGGTGTCTTGGGGTTCTCTGGGAGGGTCTCCTGGGGGGTCTGTAGAGCCCACGCTTTCACGATCGAGTGATCGAGGACAGCGCGACGACGACGACGACGTCGCGGTGGCGGCGGCGGCGACGACGACGACAAAGTCTCATCTTAGAGCCTTGCGTGGGGTGTCTCGGGGTTCTCTTAGAGGGTCCTTGGGGGTCTGTAGAGCCCACGCTTTCACGATCGAGTGATCGAGGACAGCGCGACGACGACGACGACGTCGCGGTGGCGGCGGCGACGACGACGACGACAAAGTCTCATCTTAGAGCCTCTCGTGGGGGGGTCTCCGGGGGTTCTCTGCTTTTTGAGGATGTCTCGAGCGAAACGCTTGTTTTTCAGAATTTGTTGAGGATGTCTCGAGCGAGACGCTGGTTTTGCAGAGTTGGGGATGTCTCGAGCGAAACGCTTGGTTTCAGAATTTGTTGAGGATGTCTCGAGCGACACGCTGGTTTTGCAGAGCCGACCGCGACACGGAAAAGCCCCCCTCGCGCAGGAATTCCAAGGATGTCTCGCGCGTGCCGCGTCCCGCGCGCGGGTATTTGGATTTCTTGTGGTTTTGACCGGATGTCTCGAGCGAAACGCTTGTTTTTCATAATTTGTTGAGGATGTCTCGAGCGAAACGCTGGTTTTGCAAAATTGGAGGATGTCTCGAGCGGTGGCCTCGTGGGGGGCCAGAATTCAAAGGATGTCTCAGGCGAAATGCTTGTTTTCACGTCCCGCTCGCAGGAATTCCGAGGATGTCTCGCGCGTGCAGCGTCCCGCGCGTAGGAATTCAGATGATTTTGACAGGATGTCTCGAGCGAAACGCTTGTCCCCAGCACGTTCCGTAGCGCGTCCCCTTGTCACGTCCCGCGGTGCGTCCCCATGGCACGTCCCTTGGCACGTCGCTTGGCGCTCCCTTGAGACGTTTCGCGGCGCGTCCTCCTGGCATGTTCCCCTGTCCATTAGCTCTGGGGCAGCTACTATGTGTTCAGGCAGCTCGAGCTTAAGATCCAGATCAGTTCGGTCAGGACTCGGATGCAAAGGAGGACTCGATCCACGAGGCTATAGAGCACAGTCGCGCCATGGCACATCGCAAGTCAGCACGGCGCAGCACAGCATTGATTTCGGCACGGTACATCAAGGTCGATACGCTCAGCATTGCAACTTGGCACGTTCCTTGGCACGTTCCGTGGGGCGTCCTTTGGCGAGTCCCCCTGGCACGTCGCGTGGCGCGTCCCCTGGCACATCCCGTGGCACATCCATTGGCACGTTCCGTAGCGCGTCCCCTTGGCACGTCCCGCGGTGCGACCCCATGGCACGTCCCCTGGCACGTCGCCTGGCGCATCCCTTGGGACGTTTCGCGGCGCGTCCTCCTGGCATGTTCCCCTGTCCATTAGCTCTGGGGCAGCTACTATGTGTTCAGGCAGCTCGAGCTTAAGATCCAG